CCAACCGAAGCTAAGCTGGCCGTTGGAACCGCCCCGGCAGCTCCGGGGGAGAGGCGGCCAGCAATCTGCTGCAGGCAAGATGAACCCGCTGCGGTCGCTTCTGGGGATCCTGACTCACAACACCTCTGTAGGACGGAGCACCACCATAGGGGTGGCCAAGACTCTAAACCTGGACTGAAGCACACTGCCACACGCAGCTTTCTCCCATGGAGCAGCTGGTGGGTCCAGACACTGACCCTCTGGTCAGCAGCCCACCCCTTGGCGCCCTGTCCAAGATGACAGCCTAGACAGCCCAAGGGGGCAGTTGTTGGGCGTCATATGGGCCACTATGGAAGGTGCTCAGTAACAGCCAGGGCAGGGAAGAAAGACACCTTTAGCTTCTCTGTTCTCCAGCCTGGTGCTTTGGGCTTACTGGTGACAGACGATTCCTTAAGCAGGGGCTTGGTCCAACCGAGGGGAATACCATATTCCTGGAAGCCTCTTTCCCTGTCCGTGGGAAGCTGTAAACTCCTAGTCTTAGATTCCATTTGTCCAGTGCCGCCTGCAAACCAGACTCTCCACACATCGGTGCTGACTCATTGGCGCCGTCAACAAACGTTGGTGGGCAGGCTCAATCATCCCAGGTTACACTTTGCCCTCACTTCACGCCTCCCCCGCCTGCCGGAAAGGTATCAGGTTATGATTTTTGCCTCCTGGAACCAAAAACCTGCATCCCCCACCAGCCTCCCCACACTCTCCCTGGCCTTTTCCATCAGCTCCCTTTGTGTTTCTGGAATCCAGGGCACCCATGCATGTTGTTCCTCTGCTCCCATGGCAACCAAATTCTCCACTCAAATACTGGTCTCTGATTTGGGGTAAGATAAATACAGGGCCCTGAAAGAGAGCTTCATTGAAGATATAGCTTTATATTCTTATGAAAACACGTGTGCACACACACACACACACACACACACACACACACACACTATCAAGTTGCCTCCAACTCTCAGCAACCCTATAGGACAGAACAGAACTGCCCCTGCTGGGTTCCCAGATGGCAAATCTTTATGGGAGTAGACAGCCTCATCTTTCCCCCCTGAAAGAACTATAAATGGGATGAAATTGACAACCGCAACTCACAAAGGGAAGAAACATGGAGGGCAGTGAATTGCTGTTAAGGGTGGAAGGATAATCCCAAAAAGGAGGTGGAGCATGCTCGCCTAACTTCAAAAGATTGTACTCAATGTAACAGAATGGTACCTGTAAACATTGTTGAGTTTTGGTTTAGGTTTTGTTGTGTATACTTTCAACAACACAATAAGTATTTTTTTAAATATGGACCAGGACTACCTGATGAATTGCTGGAAGATAACCCCGACCCCCAGGTTGGAAGGCCCTGTACAATAACCACAGCAATAGACCCAAACAGCCGCAGCCGTGAACTGGGCAGTGGTTTCATTCTGTTGTACCCGAGTCTGCCAGGAGTCGGAGTGGACGTCGTGGTAACAACTGACAGCAACAACTACAAATGTCTGGTGGCGCCCACATTTCTGTCACTAGATCCGCCCCTTTTCCAGATCCCTTCTCTGGTCCCACTTCTTTCCCACGTTGAAGGAGACATTCACAGAGCCAGACACGTATTTGAGTACCCAATTCTTCATATCCACAGGAGTGCTTTCCACAGAGGTACCCCAAATCATCAACATCCCCCTCTCCTGCTTCTAATGTGATTCATCAACTTATATTCCCTACTCTGCTTGGGGGGATCAGCTTCCACCCAGAGGCTTAACTAGAAGCCATGGAGAACCCTCAGCCCCTCCCTCTCCCTTCTTCCTTCCGCGTCCACTCACTTTTCAAAGCTGCCTTTTTTTGGGCCATCTTCATCAGGTGCTTGGTGGTTCTAGGGCCCCAGCGATTCCATTCCCTACCCCCTGACGCCCCCCCACCGTCACTAAATGGATCTTTCTAAAACCCAATTTCATCAGACCAGCCCCTTAATTCTGAAACTCTTCTGTAGGTCCATCTTTGCATCGAGGATCAAGTTCAAACTCAGCATAGCATCCAAGACCCTTCTCAGTGGCTTCATTCAATCCACTTTTCCTTTTTAAGTGCCCACTGCTGTCCCCCATGGTTCGTGTCTAGGTATTACCTGAAGGAAGGACAAGTATGTCTACTTCTTACAAACTTAAAACTTAAAAACTTAACTCACGGTCTTACATGCTATCCTACATAGGTCCTGCAGATAGGAATTTTTATTGCTTATCCTGGCATTCCACATTTATCCAAGGGTCTGATACGTGGTAGGCAGTGTGTTAAGTGCTCAGGCTACACAAGTGGACAAAAGGTAACAAAGATCCTGACCACAAAGGGCCTATGTTCTACCAGGAGACATAGACCCCCAACAATGAACATAGTAAATAGGCCATGTTGTGTGACAGAAGGTGATCAGTGCACCTTGAAAACAAGAACATAGAGCCAAGGAAGAGGCCTGGGAATGAGGATAAGGAGTGGGGCAGTTTTCGGTTCGGGGTGTTAAAGAGGGTTTTGAGATTTTAAAATAGGGTCAGCCAGACTGAGAAGGTACAAGAGGTGCGAGTGGTTAACGTGCTTGGCTGCTAACTGGCTTGAAAGTTCGAGTTCACTTAGAGGCACCTTGGAAGGAAGACCTGGTCATGGAGTCCTAAAGATGCAGATGCTGACAACGCTGGGGAGCACCATGCTGCTCTGACACTCACGGGGGCACAGGAGCCAAGTGACAGCAACTGGCTTGGGTTTTTTACCTGGTTCATAGAACTTGAGGTCACCATTCCCTGGTCTTCTCCTTGGGAGTGGACTGCTAAGTAACAATGATGGCTACTGCTGGCCGTGAGCTTATTCTGTGATAAACTCTGGGTAAGCCCTCTGTGTGCCCTTCCCTCCCTTAACCTTGACCGCAGCCTTGGGAATGATGCTGTCCTCATCCCTGTCTACCAGACTTGGAGGAATTGGCCCAAGACCCTGACCTAGAAAATGGCAGAGCTAGGAGTTGAGCACATCCACTAGCCATTCGCTTCCTGGCAATGAACGAAGACACGCAAGGGCCACTCCTTTGGACGGTCACTAAACGGACAGCGTCAAGAACCAACAACGTTCATTTTCAGGGAAGACCGTCTGGATGGCAGCACTCGAAGAGGCTGCAGAAAGCACACTTCCTCGTCCAATGTCGGATTCCCTTCCTGCAGGTGGCTTTCAACCCAAAAGTATTCTTCACAAGGGACTCCAGTGTCTGGCAGGCTTTTACCTCCAGAAAAATCCTGCCTTCCTATTACCCTTTGTCTACTAATCCTGTTTCTTTGTTGCTCCAAAGTGAAGCTGGGGTGCAACTTCCCTCACCTACTTTATGATATATTCTTTTTCTGATATATTTGAACAACTCCACATTAGCCACTGCTCCATCTGTGTTCTATAGCTGTTGTCTAGGTGTGGAAATCACCAAGTCACTGAAATAGGAAAGCCCGGCTGTTTTCACAGCAGTCAGTTCACCCTGTAGTCAGAGTGCTGAGTGTTTACTGAGCATGACTAACCGCTTATAAAAAGCAAAGCATGATTCAGAGAACTCCACCAAAAATAAGGCATTTGGCCTGATCTCGGCCTGGTGCAAATGTAGTCTTCTGAGTCACAAAGCTCATTAGAAATGGGGATGCATTTGACTCTAATAAAGATTTTCGTGCAGCCCAGACTTCAGAGTGGTATATTTAGAGCAGCCACAGAATGAATGTTGGCACGTAGGCAGATGACGTCAGAGACAGAATCATAATCCGGCATGGCTTTATTGCTTGTCTGTCTCCACCTCTTCCTCCAAGAGAAAGGCCTGGTTTAGGACAGGCAGGTCTCTTTGCTGCCTAGAAAATGAGGCTTTCCTGATTCAAGCGTGAGGAGGGATCCTTTAGAAGTGACTTCTTGCTTGGGGACATGCGTATAGCTCTCCCAAGACTGCCCTGGTCCGCTGGTCCCGGGCCTTGGGGAGCTCTTTCCTTGTTGGGACAAGTTTCCTTGGAGCTGCTGTGCTGTGGGGGTGCTGAGTAGCCTCCAACTCTTCTCTTCCAGACTGTTGGCTCTGCAGCCCCAGCCTACCTCCCCTTTATCCTGTCTGTCTGCCCAGTGGCCAGCAAGCAGGGGAACCGAGCAGCTGGGTGGGAGGCAGCAGCTGGAGGAAAGGGCCCGGGCATGGCCCAAGCGCCACTGTGTGAGCACAGCCTACCGTTGCCGTCCATCCAGGGGGACCTAGGAAGAACAGCCTGGCGATCTGGGTCTGAAAAATCAGCCATGGAAAACCCTGTGGAGTCTAGTTCCACTCTGACCCCCAGGGGTCGCCATGAGTCAGCTGACTTGATGGCAACGGGTGGGGTCACATCTAGGAATTCCCAGGAAAGAGTGGGAAGGGTGTGTTGATGGACTGACGACCCTGTTTCAGGCCCTGCCTCAGAGCCTTCCCATCCATGCCTGCATTTAAAGCTCAAAGCAGCCTTAGAGATGGAAAAAGAGAGTCTCTCCTGTTCTACCGATGAGGAAACTGAGGCTCAGAAAGGTCAGGGATAACTCAGGCCAAACCCCATCAACCAAGGGACTGGTGAATCCACAGCCTTCTTACCATATCTGTTGTAAAAAGGACAGTGTGTGAGTGCCCTTTCCCCCACTCCACCCCCATCTCCCATCTCTGGATGTTTATGTCTTTTCTTTCACAATATGCAAAGTGATTGTTTTACTCTTACGTATTTGGGATTTTACAATATAATTTTTATAAACTGCCCTTTCAATGTTTTCCACGGTGTATTCTTTTATTTTTCTTTCTTTCTTAATTTAAAGAGGCATTTATTAAGTGTTTTAATAAATGACCAGGACAAGATAACTACCGAGCTATAGCCCGCAGTCATGATGGGCCGAGAGAAAGGGAACGTGGGAGGTCAGAGAGAACTGTCACACAAACATGGCTGGCAGCAGGTCAAGTCTTTCCTTAACCAGCCCCTTGCCTCTCTCCTCAGGCAGTTTGGTGGTTACGCCAAGGAAGCCGACTACGTGGCTCACGCCACCCAGCTGCGCTCTGCCCTGGAGGGCACAGGCACCTGGCGGGACGACTTCTACTTCTGCGCGGGCTATGATCCCCCCATGAAGCCCTACGGGCGTCTCAACGAGGTCTGGCTGGTGAAGATGTGAGCGGCTCGGGGCCCAGGGCTTCCGCAGCTACCAACTTGCCTCCCAAGGGGGTCGCCGCCCCTTGTCTGAAAGAAACGTGTCTTTGTGACTAAGGTCCTTTTCTCATACACAAGATTGATTTAGGGAGTTCTGTGGGAGACCAGAAAATCCCCCGTGGTGTTTCATCAGCTCTGCAGATTACTAAGAACTGACTTTTCTTAATTATAGAATTTGTCATTTTTTAAGGAGGGAAAAATGTGGGCATGAACTTTCATCTGTGATTCTTGTAAGCACTGTCTAAAAAGAAACTTGAAAATAAAGATCTTTGACTTACGAAGCTGGGCTAAAACTTAAGTAAAATTCTTTCTAAGGTTCTGCCTTCAATCATACAGATCAGACCACTCTAAGTGCTCCCACAGAATGCCCACCTTCCATGACGGAGAACCCGGAACCCACTGCTGTCCAGCTGATCCCAATTCACAGCGACCCTAGAGGGTAGAGGCAACACAAAACAAGAACAACAGCAAAGTCAATGCCATTCAGTTGGTTCTGATGGGACAGGGTAGAACTGCCCCGTGGGTTTCCAAGACTGTAGTCTGTAACTCTCTACAGGGATAGAAAGCCTCATCTTTCTCATCTGAAGCAGCTGGTGGTTTTGAATTGCTCACCTTCCGGTTAGCAGTCCAAGTTGTAACCACTACCCCACCAGGGCAGGGTACTGTATGTGAATCTTCATGGCATCAGACCACCTCGTCTTTCTCCCAAGGAGTAGCTGGTGGATTTGAACGGCCACCCTTCCGGTGAACAGCCCAAAGTGGAACTAAGCAACCAGGACTCCTTGTGGGATCGCTAGGCTGAATTCCCAATCAACATACCTTATGCCCAGCTACCACCCACCCATCTGCCAGGGCAGGCTTGCCTGTTGTTATTCAACAGAGCTTCCAGACTGAGTTAGTTAGTTTATTGTGCCAACCTGGCTGATGAACACATGTGGGGTTAATTGAAGGGCAGAGGGATAAATGGCTCAGTGAGCCTCGCCTTTCTAGTTCTTGGGTCTCTTGCTTTCTGATGCTCAGACCAGGGTGCAGCTGCCTTGGCTAGTTCCCTGCTTCAGCTGGTGGGGCTCACTTCCTGCAGGACGTCCCTGAGGAGAAGCCACATAGACCTGCCCCGATGCAGCCCTGGGTGCTGGAGCAGCCGTGTGGAGACCCCTGCCAGCGCTGAGATGCTAACATGTCCACTGATTCGGCTTTCCTCCTGCAGTAGGCATCATTGTGTGTGTTTTGTGAGATGGAGGAGGACATTGTGGATTGGTGTTGGACATATGGGTTAATGGGCTAATGTTGGACTTGTGGGCTTGGGCAGCCCTGGGTTGGGATGTTTTCTTGATGCACACTTAATTTGTATAAAACTCTCTCATACATGCGTTTCTGTGGATTTGTTTCTCTGAAGGACCCAGACGAACACACAGACTAAGACCAAAAGGAAAGGCCTAGCCATCTCCGTCTAAAGACTCGTCTAATGAAAATGCTTGGGACCTCAGTGGTCTGATCTGAAACGATCATGAGGGTGGCAGGGGCCACTTTGTGCCATTGTGGGGGGGAGCGACCATGAGGTCAAGGTGACTCTCAGCCACAACAAGGTATGGTATTGACTGTGGCAGGAGCACTCGTGGGGCAGTGCAGTACTTAGCTAACTGAAAGTTCAGTGGGTCGAACCCACCCACTGGCTCCTCAGGAGAAATAGATGACAGCCGGCTTCCACAAGGAGGACAGACTTAGACCTCCTGAGCGTCACTTCTCTCTGCCCTTTGGGGTCATTAGGGGTAAGAATCCACTTAATGGCAATGGGTTAGGTTTGGTTTTGACCGTTAGTAGGAATCGTCTGTTTAGAGTTCCAAACACCTTCAGAATAGAAACCCAAAGATCCCATAGTAGGAGACTATGCATCACAAGCCCAAAACCCTCTCCATCATAGGCATTGGCTGTGACTCGTCTGTGGCGATTGCACAATGATAAGTCAAGGACAGAGCAGTCAGGGCTTTGGTCCACAAAGGGTTCCAGCAGTCAAAGAAGCAAACTGCGGAGAAGGTCGTGTCACACTTTGGATACGCAGACATCCCTGGAGACGCAAACAGAGCCAGGAGAAGTGTTCAGCGTGAAGAGCTAACACTGGAAAACCCTGGGCTCCAGTCTCACTCACTGAGGAGGACAGACGTGAAAGGAGCCAGTTCGGCCTGTAGAGGGGGAGCGGGGACCCGGAGCTGTGCGTGGGCGCGGATGAGAGTCTGAGCTGGAACCGCGCCTGGTGAAGTTTGGAGGAGTGTGGATGAGGAGCCCTGGGCCTTGTGAGCCCGTGCAGAGGACACCTGATTCCCCAGGGTCCCCGAGCACCATCCAATCAGCAGCCCTACTTAGGACAGCAGAGAAGGTTTTTTCCCTAAGAAGCCCATCTCAGCACCCCCCAGTACTTCTGACAGGTTATTAAAAGAGCAGTAAGAGCTCTGTGGGGGGTTGTTGATGCAAATGAGGGGAACCAGAGTAGACACCCAAAGCCCATCTGTAGGCAATTAGACACCCGCTTACAGAAGAGTCACAAGGGAGGGATGAGCCAGCCAGGGTGCAATATAGCACCAACGAAACATACAACTTTCCTCTAGCTTTTTAATGCTTTGTACCCCCCACTATCATGACCCCAATTCTACCTTACAAATCCGGCTAGACTGGAGCATGTACACTGGTACAAATAAGAGCTCTAGACACACAGAATCTGGGACAGATCAACCCCTCAGGAACAGTAAAGGGAGTAAGAATACCACAAAGGTAGGGGGAAGGTGAGGGGAAAGGGGGGAACTGATCACAAGGATCAATGTATAATGTGCCCACCTCCCTACTGAGAGGACGAACAAGAGAAATGTGGGTGAAAGGAGACAGTGGATGGTGTAAGACATGAAAATAATAATAATCTGTAATTTATCAAGGGGCTCACGAGGGTGGGAGTGAGGGAGGGGGTGGAAGAGGAGCTGATACCAAGGGTTCAAGTAGAAAGCAAATGTTTTGAGAATGATCATGGCAACATGTGTACAAATGTGTTGGACACAATGGATGGATGGATGGATTGTGATAAGAGCTGTAAGAGCTCTCAATAAAATGATTTATGTTTTTAAAAAGAGAGCTCTGTGGGGCGCTCAGGCAGAAGGAAAATCCTCACTTGGAATCCTCACCAAGAAGGGTTCTTACTGCACATTAAGTGATCATTTCTAGAGAAAGGAACCAGAGCGCTGTGATCTCCTTTTCAGAGACAAGCTGTGACATTTCAGAAGATCTATGGAAAATCCTCCAGGTCACCACACTTGCTCCCTTCACCCTGCAGACTCTGAGGGAGGTTCTCGCTCTGTCCCCACGCACACATGGGTGGCTGGGGAGGCTAGGGGGTCCCGATCCTCACACCGAACTCAGGGACCAGGCAGAAGTATAGCCACAGAGACAGCCTCAGGCCTCACATCATGCCAAGGGGGTTGTGTTCATCCTAGGGGAAATGGAAAATAAGTGAGAGGCTTTGAGCAGGCACACGACAGACACCACCATATTTTAAGGATACCAGATATGGACAATGGACTGAGAGGGGCTATGACTAGAGGCAGGGTGACCAGTTACCACCCTCTAAAGACGATGGTGGTGAACCTAGGATCCAGGCCATAGGGCAGAACAAAGTGGACAGTATGAAGGAGAGAGGGGACCAGCAGGATGTGGTGGGAAGCAGGTGCGTGAGCTGAGACAGAAAGGGGCAGGGGAGTGCCTGGTATTTGAGCCTGTGAATGGATGGGGCCAGCACTCACTGAGGCAAGAAGCACAGGTGAGAAGCGGGTTGATTGGGAGGCAGGGCCCCAAAGGGAGTGGTTCGACCTACAACACATCCAAAAAGAAGCTACCTACTGGGCAGTGGGATGCGTGGTCCTCTGCTAAATGAGATACAGCACCCTCATCTGGAGGCTGAGCTCTGCTGGCTGCTGCTCATGTGTCCACAACGGTGGATTCAGCTGGCTCACACCACTTACACAGAACTGACACCTAATTTTTTGAGCCATCCAACATGGAAATCACAAATCTACATTCCTTACTCTGTTTTTTTTTTTTAATCCTTTTATTGGGGGCTCCTACAGCTCTTACCACAATCCATCCATCCATCCATTGTGTCAAGCACATTTGTACATTTGTTGCCATCATTATTCTCAAAACATTTGCTTTCTACTTGAGCCCTTGGTATCAGTTCATTTTTTCCCTTCCCCCTCCCCCCCTCTGCCTCCCTCATGAGCCCTTGATCATTTATAAATTATCATTATTTTTCATGTCTTACACTGACTGATGTCTCCCTTCACCCATTTTTCTGTTCTCCATCCCTCTGGGAGGGGGTTCTATGTAGATCATTGTCATCGGTTCCCCTTTCTTCCCCCATCTCCCGCTTACCTTCCTGGTATCGCCACTCTCAGTATTGGTCCTAAGGGGTTTATCTGTCTAGATTCCCTGTGTTTCCAGCTCTTATCTCTACCCATGTCCATCCTCTGGTCTAGCCGGATTTGTAAAGTAGAATTAAGCATGATAGTGAGGGGAGAAAGCATTGAAAAACTAGAGGAAAGTTGTATGTTTCATCGGTGCAACCTGACTGGCTCATCTCCCTGCGACCCTTCTGTAAGGGGGTGTCCAATTGTCTACAGATGCGCTTTGGATCTCCACTCCACACTCTCCCTCATTCACATTGATATGGTTTTTTTGTTCTGGGTCTATGATGCCTGATACCTGACGCCTTCGACAACTCATGATCACACAAGCTGGTGTTTTTCTTCCATGTGGACTTTGTTGCTTCTGGGTGTTTGTTTATCTTCAAGTCATTAAGACCTCAGACACTATATCTTTTGATAGTTGGGCACCATCAGCTTTCTTCACATTTGCATATGCACCCATTTTGTCTTCAGCGATCATATCAGGAAGCTGAGCATCATGGAATGCCAGGCTATTAGAAAAAAGTGGTCTTGTGTTGAGGGAGTACTTCAGTAGAGGCCCAATGTCCATCTCCTACCTTAATATTTGACATATGTACATAGATCTATTTCCCTATTGTTGTATATAAATATATTTACATATATACATGCCTGTATTTAGACATCTATAAATGCCCCTTGCCTCCTAGCTCTTTCCTCTATTTCCTTTTACTTTCCTCTTTATTCCCATTGTCATGTTTGGCCTTCATTTGGGTTTCAGTAATTCCTCTCAATTACATTGCCCTTGATCAAGCCCTACCAGGCCTCCTACACCCTTATTGCCATCAATTTTTAGATCA